CTCCCGCCCCCCCCAGCAGTGATGTCAGCGCTTTACCTGGCCCACCTGGCCCCGTGCTGGTGGCGCAGCGCGTGGAGCCCCCTCCTGCGGGCGGGCGTGTGGGCAGGTGGGCGGGCGGGGGTCCTTTGGTGGCGTGAGGCAGCGAGAAGTTAAATTTTTAATGCATGTTTTTTTCCTTGCCTGGCAGGCCCGGGAGCCGAAGGGATCCGCGTCGGGAGCCTGCACCTCTGCTCCCGTCTGGGGTTCAGTTTGCATCATTTCTGCACCGATTTAAAAAAGCCACCCCCCCCCCCCAAAAAAAAAAAAAAAAGAGCAGCCCCAGCCCACACACAACATGTTGTGCGGAAGGACTTCCACTCCCTGGCTGCGCCCTTCATGCTAGCGATCAGGAAAAGCCTTTGGGGGCTGCAGGATCTCTGGCGGTGGCAGCGGCTGCTGCTACGGGGTTTGGTGCAGGGAAACAAAACTGCCTCCTCCATCCGCCCAGCTCTTCACAGCTGCGTTTGTGCTGCCACGCTCCCTCCCAGACAGACCTCGCTCCATGGACTGATAGTCTCTCCTCCTCTCTCTCTCTCTCTCTCTTTTTTCCCCCCCACCCCTGTAAAGGAGGACAGGAAGAAAACCAGGGCATTGCTTTGGGAGGAACCGCACTGCATTTATTCATTGTGTTCTGGTGGATCTGTCCTGAGATTAATCTTCTTTTTTTGGGGGGGGGAAAGGAAAACATGACGTCGCCAGCTAAATTCAAAAAGGATAAGGAGATCATAGCTGAATATGACACTCAAGTGAAAGGTAAGGAAAGGGGTTTTTACCTCCATCGAGATTTATATTGTTAGTGCGGCGTTGACTTGCAAATGGAAGAGTTTGCACTACAGAGATGGGTGGGGAAGGAGGCAAGCGTTTGCAGGCTGCCTGGAATTTGCAGCCTTTTTTCATGATATAATGTCGTAAGCAATTTGCAGTGTTTTTTGTTTTTTTTTCCACACCCCCCCACCCCCCTGCCATGTCAGTGCTGTTTCATGCATCTTAGCGAGAGGAAATTTTCCCTGCATATGATCAATTGTTGAATTTTAGGGAGACGTATGTATTTTGGTCTGCAGGCTGGAGAATATGCTTGGGTTTGAAATGCCAGAGGCAGTGAACAGTGCTTTTTAATTTCCACTCCCTGAGGAATCTTTGCAACCCTGTGTAGCACCTAAAGAGCATCTTTCATTTGCTACTATTGTTGACCCTTAGAGGGTCTCTTCATACCGGTCTGTGCCAAATAGCACTATTATTCGGTCTCTCATACTCAATAGGACCATGCTCGCTGTAGGTTGCCTGCGCTCCTGGCTGAGACGCCGTATGGTTGCAGGACATATATGTAATGCATGTGAATAGCATTGCAGTCCTCTTAAGGCATATCTGGAATGACAGTAACTTGATATACATATTTCACATAAGTATATGCTGGCTTGATGCCAGGATCCTGCATGCCTTGGGTGACAGAGGACAGTGAAATGTTGGCTGTCCTCTCTTGTGTTTGCAAAGCTTTCAAGATAATGTCCGTGAAAAAATTCTTCCATGTACGTTACTTGGTAAATTGCTGCTGTTGGGAAATAACTAGATTTAGGAGGTTATTTAAGTGATTGAAACTTGCTTGGTATGCTCATAGTGTGCAGAAAAGGATGGCCTTGGGATAGAAGTGATTGATTTAAATCACCATTTTTAATCTGTGATTTAAATCAGTAAGTAGGAGCCCTAGATTAAAAGCAGCGATTTTTAAATCATGGTTTTCAGTCATGCTTTTTAATTATTTGCACTGAAAAATGGTTGGTCGCCACTGAATATCAACATACTTTTCCTAACATCATATTTCACACTAAATTTTGTACTTTTCTTTGCTAAGTAAGGAAGTTACAACATCTTTTACCATTTATTTAAGATCAACATATGGTCGTGCACATTATTTTTACATGTTAGAAATGATGAATGGGTCTCTCTTTTTTTTTTTTTTTTTTTTTTTTTTTAAATCTGCCAGATTTTGTTGAGCTAGTTTTGTCAGGTTACGTTTAGACGGAAACTGCTGTTAAAGTAAATGCAGAAAAGGGCATTATACATTTTTGTTTTTATTAAATGAAAGTGTCTTCAATGTGCTTGATATATGAACTTATTTTTCTAATCAAAGTCTGTTGTTGCATTTATAACTAGCACAGGGAGGGAGTGTTTCTTGACGTCATGTCTTCCAGGATTTCTGGAACTAGTAGAGCTCATCCTCTTTCATTAGCAGAGAGGTTGGAAAAGAAAAATGTGCGTTCCTCCTTTTTCAGTGGCTTCTCCACTGTGCATGAACTGGATGTTGAACTGCACCCATTGAATATTTTCTTCACTTCCATTTATTTGCTCTGCCAGCAGTACTTTACCACTTCAACTGGTACGGTTTTGAGAGGTTTACACAGCGACCAACATGAGCTCATGGGCTGACGCTCGTTAAGATTTCAGCAGCAAACATGTCCTATTTGATTTAAGTAAAAGACTGTAGTGAGTGTAGGCCTTGATAGAGGACTCTGTGTGGGTTTGATTTGTCTTTGTTTGGTTGTTTGCTTTTACAAGTTTGTCAGATGTTGCCAGGCCCTTGAATGGAAGGCAACAACATTGCCTAGAGTTGTATATCTTTTGTCCTGCCACCTCTTGTTTTTATTTGCAGTAACACATGCTCATTTGACAAGCTGATTAGTCTTTTAGAGTACCCACAGTCCAAATGGGACACTGCTGGGAAAAGATGGCTTGAGTCCTTCCTCTGTTCAAGGACCTACCTGGAGTTGCCACTTGTCCAACCACAACTGAACAATGCTGGATAGTGACATGTACAGCCTGGGAGAAGCTTTTTGCATCTGCTTAAGACTCCCTTGGTTCTCAGGGTACCTTGGGTCTCTAATTGCAGCTCTCTAATTGATGAGACCTAGTCAGTTCAGGGCTGCTTTAAAAGGCTCGGGCTTGAGAGCTCCTACTCCGTTCCAGCCATTGTGAAGTTGGGAGGAATTCAGTTACATTACTAATTAAAGTGGCGCTGAGAGGTGCTGTGAACCCGAGCTTTGTGCACTGACCTAATGTGCAGAGGATAGATAGCATGCAGATAAGTCAATTCTGAACAAATCTAATATGTACATTATGGTACTATACTGTGTCAGTGGCTGGCTGGCAGATGGTTATCAAAATGCAATAAGCACAGGGATATTATTTCCCCCCCATATCCCCTTTATTGAGGTGAAGGTTCCCTCCTCCAGCATACTGAAACAATGCACCCAGGGCTTTCTTAATTCAGAGCAGTTAACCGTTGCACCGCTAGTCTCTTAGGTCACCTACACACGTGACGGACCTCTGCTCCAATGCATGCTAATGAGCACGCTCCAGCAGCCTCCACGTCACTTGTGTTCAGCATCCCTGCATTTCAAAATGGCAGCAGGGGCGCTTTAACTAAAGCTTGTTCAATAAGTGCCCCAGTGCATTTTGAAGCGCAGGGATGCTGAATACAGGTACTTTAATTAGAGAGGCTCTCAGAGCTACTCTAATTAAAGCACCCTGATCCACCTCCACCCTGCAGCATGTGGATAGACATACTTAAATAACTGTGCTCCAGGAAAAGAGGACAGTGATAAGCTCTGTTTTATTCTGAAGCATGTTAACTGCCCTGCAGTGTTGTTAGCTTCAGGTGTGAAATGTGTTGCATGAAGAGAGTTGGTCTGTATGGGAGTTGAAGCTCTCTACAAGGATGCCAGAAAGCAGTAGGAAGAAGTAGTACCCGTGATCCAGGAGGTTGCACTGTTTTCTTCATCGATTATCACTTCAATCGTATCCGTTATCATTATTCTCCAGTATGGTGATACAGGGCACCGAACTGTTGGATGACTGAAGTCTAAAGTCCTGTCCATTTGTGGTTGTTAAAAATTCCAGGTGATGCTGTGATATTAATTGTGGTGACCTGGGCAAACGCTAACCCTGGTGGATAATATTCGGTCTCTAAATTACCTCTGTAGTACTGTTTGATTGTAGATCACTTAGTTTTTCCTATTCTGTTTGTGCATGGTTGCTATAGGAATTCATCCCTGAGGTGGCTGCCTCAGCAGCAGCTAAATTGAATTTTGTTATATTGGGTGCCGTCTAAATTATAAGGTATTATCCGTCTGTCTTGGCTATGAGAGAGTTTTGTGATTGCGTGTTCACTGACATTCAAAACTTGCGCATTTTTAGCTACATTCCATGCTCGGATGATGCAAGGCAGCTGTGTTTTGAGACTTCACTTAAAAATAATTAATTCACAATGAGTGTGCTCTTTCTTAAACCTAAGGATTGTTAATGAAATGCTTCAGCTTGGTTTGAAACCTTCATTAACTGTCTGGGGTTGGCTAAGGGGAGCCTACCTGGAGAAAGGCATTGGTTTGTGATTAGTAAGGTCATAATTACTCCATGGTTCTCAGCCACTGCTCATGCTAGATCATCAAACTGTGACTGCGTCCAATCAAAGTCGTCTTAATTAGTGGCACTTATTGTTCCCCCAAGAATTAATTGTGGCCATCTGAGGTATTTGTTTCTTTATTGCAACCATCATAAGCATGCCTCTTTTCTTTTTCTGTTGCAGCTGCAATTTGCCCTGTCCCTAAGCGTGAGCACGGCTGTGGTCATGTGAGAGTTTCTTTCCTCGAGCCTTGGGGCTTTAGTTGGGGAAACTCCAGGGACTAAGGGCATGCCATGTATGTGTGGGGAGTGCCGTTGTGATCACTCTTTGGGTACAATCATGTTCAAATCTGGGCAAATGGAAGTTTCCTGTGTCCAATGGGACTGAAGTGAATCAAGGTCTCACGGCGCTGCCTGGAGAAGGTTGGAAAAAAGTCACAGACTTTAGTGGCTTAACTACCCGCAGTAGAAACTTTGAGATTGGTGCGTATGGAAGGCAGGAAGTGATGGTAAAACTAGCAGGGCTTCCTTGAATGGCTGTTTTCATGCACTTTGGTGCATCTTACGCTCCGAGGGGTTGCAGGACAAGCAAGTATCAAGACAGATTCCTAGAAAGGCTGTGGTTAAGAATACTATTGTCTTTGAGGAAAGTATTTAAAACATTGGGTTAAATGTCAGACAGCA